CCACCCGTAGGGTCTCACCTAGAACATCGTGCGGAAAGATGATACAGGATGAACGACAGTAAGACAATTTTCTGCTACCTTCACTCTAATATTATGGCAGGCAAGTGAGCCACATCCCACATACCGCTTGCGTCTGTACGTCACGACTCGATTGACATAGGGAAAAATTGGGCACATACAGAGCGACTTCAAGCCCCAAGCTCGAGCGCGATCACTTGGCAAATCAGCTGGATCGCAAAGTCGGGCGACTCGTATCCTGAGGACATATGTACCTATGCAAGATTCTTTGATCAATCGTAAACTGCATCGAGGGTCAGGATCATAGACATACCGCTAGATGAGTAGGCTGTCTTTGTCGGGAATACAGTGAACGAGTGGTGATTGGACCCGCTTATCAAAGAAACAGGGATACCAACTGTGCTGCTTCTGGTAATTCACATCGGAGGGTGACGAGCACGCGATCTAGTGTGAGGTGCGGGGATGGGGTGTCCACTCGTAGGGGGAACTCAAGAGAGGAGTACATATTTTGACCGAGTAGCACCATCGTGTTCCTCGACGACACCGTTTACCTATCGGGAGGGGTGAGAGGAACAGAATCCCAGGTTTCTGGCGATAGGCATCACATCAGCCCATAGATCGAGCAAGAAAACTGTCAAGGAGTCCCACCAGCGTTGGCCATTTTCCTACCAGATGTGATCTAAAAGTTGTCGGGCTCTAGTGGCCATGGTCAATATATGCGGCGGTTAGAAAAGGTAATGAACGTTAGTGAACATTGCACTAGGAAGCCATACAGTGGATAGATAGCAACGTACATAGGGGCTCTCAATCAACTGCTTGTAGAGCATTCCAGGCATCATCAATCAAATGAATCAAAGCTCCTGTTCACAATCACGCTCCACCGACGGCCAAAACTTTGAGGCACAACGTCGATCACGATCGCTAGGGCGCGACAGACAAATAGCGAGCCATGGCGTCTACTAACAATGCGTTCACAATCCTCCCTCCAGAACTCTTCGACATGATCATCGAGTACCTCATCGACAAACCTTCCGATGTTCTCTCACTTGCACTCTCTTGTCACTCCCTCAAAGTGCTCCTCATACCGAGTGTTCAAAACAAACTGGAGTATCGTCACATCGCAACCCCTCTCAACTCGTATTGTCTCTGGGACCACATCCGCCGTTCCCCCGAACTTGCTTGTCAAGTTCGTAGGTTGGATATCACCGGTGATATACCGAGTTTGAGGTTACCACCCGATCACCGATGTGTTTACCAGTTGATTACGTTGTGTCGACCGAGGTTGCTGTGCATCACCGCAGCTGTATCGGGTTGTCAGAGAATTATCCGGGCCATGAGGAGGTTTTTCTCGATTGGTTGGTGGGCACGTCGAGTATTGTTGACAGAGAGAAATGATATCTGGTTGTCTCTGGACGACTTCCGGTCCTTGGTGACTGGCCTCGTTGAGATTCACCCGCCACAGGTGTCGCCTGAGGTACGTACCCCCATCGCCGAATGCCACTTAAACATCGACGTTTCTTTCCACCTAGGCGTCGCCAATCCGCTTCGCCAACCTAAACAATCTGAATATCAGCCTATTCTACGACTGGGACACCCCCCACCCGATCGCCCATGACACAGTGAGATCACTCCGACGACTCCTATCAGGATGTCCGATACTACAATCCCTCTCCATAAACAACTACCCTTTCGAGCCAGATAGCGATGCATCTTTTGACATATTCTTCGAGACCGCCCACTGTCCTCACCTCCGCGAACTATCACTCTCAGGAATTCTCTTCTGCCTCGACGCCCTGGCCCAGTTCCTCGAACGTCATCCGTCCGTCGAAGAATTCGGGTTGTTCAAATGTCAAGGCATATCATTCCCACCTAGCAAGTGCTTCAGAAATCTAGTAAAATTGAGAGGCTCCTTTTCGGGTATTTATTTTGTGGTGTCTTCGAAAGCGCCGATAAAAGAGGTTTCGTTATGTACTTATCCTGGTTGTGGGCCTCCGTACTTTGATATTGGCATCGATGCATTGGTCGGTAAGTTGAAGTCCTTAGAGCGGACGTTGCAGGTGGTGAAGATTGGACATGAGGGGTGCGTTGGGGGTGGGGATCATACTGGGATGATTCGGCGGGGGATTGGGAGAGAGTTGCCGAATGTTAGGGTTGAAATGTGGTGCGCGATTCAGAGAGAATAACACTGTTACATTGTAAAAGGCACGAAGAAAAGATGGAAACTGAAAGTGTCGCTACCTTGCCGCTGCAGGTGTCGGTGCGTACTCCGGAGTGAAAGCATTATGTTCCCTGTCCAGGACATGAAGTATCATACCGCTGTTGGTGTCGAGATTGAGGTATGCTCAGTGCACCCCCGCAATCTCCAACTTCAGACATATAAAGGGAATGAACATCTGATTGTCCAAGGCTGACTCTCAGAGAGCGACGGAAGGCACGGTGCGACAGCGAAGACGTCGGTGGTGGAAGTAGTGTAGGCAGGTAGACTTGAGGCTTGAAACTTGAAGGGAGTCGGGGACTGGCGCTTGCCGCCGCTACGATTCATACTCATGAACAGGGTCGCGAGGTAGAACTGTCCGATGTAATGCGGTTGACAGCGTGAACGATAGCATATGTATGATGTGGGGATCATGATATTAGATCAAAGCTTAACGATACAGGTACGGGCTACTCGCTCATGCACCTCCAACACCATACTTGCGGAGAGTAACTGCATAGTCTCCGACATCCTCATGGCCCATGCAGACAACAGTCGCCTTGTTCCCCGACTCAGGACCAAAGATCCGCATGGCGACTCGACGAACAGACTCTGCAGTCACTTCGTCAATCTTGTCGCACATCTCCGACACTGGAATCTTGCGATTATGCACAAGGATCTACAACGTAACAGTCAGAAACACAGCAACCCTGGTGAAAAAGATAGATGGAACGTACCTGTCGACCAAGATCCTCAACCTCCACCGCCCGACTCTCCAAAGCCATCACCAAACTCGATTTGAGCTGATTCTTAGCCCTGTTCAACTCCCCCTTCGGCACCGGCTGATACAACAACAAACTAAGTTGATGTACCAAATGTGGTAAAATCTGTCCTGGCGAGTTGCCCTGATGTTGTGGTCCAGCAGGTAAGAACGAAGCGAACAACCCAAACAACGACGAGTCGGTGTAAATGTGGTGGAAGGAAGCGCAGTGGTCGATTTGTGGGTAATGGTTCAAGATGTGCGTGTATAAACGGGAATACATGCCCTTTCCCGGACCACCTGCTGAGAAGCTGCCTCCGCCGCCGAGGAGAACTTGGATGGTGGCTAGAGCGTAGATGTCGTCGTCGTGGATACCTACTCCTTCGAATCCGAGGTAGAGGTGGTTGAATTCGGATTCGGGGTTGGGGATGAATTTGTGTCCGCCTGTGTAGGTAGAGCGGGTGTTGACGGCTGATGAGACGGGGTAGGGAGGGTCGGGGAGGGCCCCTGGAGAGGTGGGGTACAAGTAGGATGATGCGGCGCGCGAGAGGGTCTTGTAAATGGATGGGGACGGGGAGGAGGAAGGGAGGAGATGAGAGGGTACTTGTTGTTGCAGGTTGGCTAGGCGCGACGTTGACAAGGGTTGAGGAGTGGGGATGGGGGCGTATTTGAGTGATGAGAAGTACTTGTCTGCCAACTCGACAAGCTCCTCGTGCTGGACTCCTGCTCCAGCGATAACCATCCTTTCTGGTCGATACCAGTCGTTCATGTATCGTCTGATAACATCTTGGTCGACGAGGTCTATCCGGTCCTCTGGACAAAGCAACGGGTTTCCGAGCGTTTTATAGTCATAAGCGACCTCGTGCATGATCTCCGGTAGGATCATCTCTGCCTTTGAAGTGATCTCCCGTATCTCATATCGGGCAGCTTCCCTTTGGGACTCGAGTTCCTCTGGTAGATACGAAGCGTTCAGAACGGTGTCGGAGATGAGAGACAGAGCGAGGGGAGCCTTTTGAGCAAAGTGGGAGGATTGGTACATGATCGACTCTCTTGACGAGGAGCACAGTATTTGACCACCCAAGGCGTCGATAGCGGTGGACATTTCGGCGTCTGACCGTGAGCCAGTGGACTACGACACCTGTTGAGCATACAGAAGCTGAAAAATGCAAAACGAAGCTCACCTTGAAGGCCATCCTGTCTATGAAGTGACTGACACCGGACGTTGATGGTGTCTCATACCGCGAACCAGCGTCAACATACAGACCGACTGCAGCGAAATGACCTGGGGTGGATTCTGTGGCAACCCGAATTTTATTTGGAAGGGTAGTGATTTGAACAGGGGGATTTGGGGCGAGCTGGGAGAGACATCGACGCTGAGACCGGGAAGCCCTGACCACAGAAGTTGCTGCTCGTCGCATCCTGCCAAGTCGTGGTTTGAGCCAAACTGCAAAGCCGGCAGACCAATGACGCTGACACATCACGGGTCACAGCGTGTGATGTGTGACTCTGTAACTTCCGGCACACGACCATGGCTTCTTTGGCTGCACACACCCACCGCCGTGCGAGAACAGTATTCATCTTATTGGTTGTCTCTGTGTGTGCTCTCAGCTCAGAATATCAAGGGATGCCCGGGACTATGAGGCAGTGACGTTGCTGCCAACGTTGTATCGTATCCGCCATCTCGACGACCTGCCTATGCAGACCCAGGATTGCAACAGGTCAGATTCGGTTTAATCCTGCGTGCGAGTCCAGGCATTGCGGCATAAGGAAGCTGGCCGACCACGGTTTTTTGCATAGCTTAGGTGCATCCGCCCTCGGGTTGGCTTCCGTTCTGATGGTACGTGTCTGTCTTCGTTGAGTGTTCCCGACGGTGACCAATCGATTACTTTAGATGAAACCACTGCTCATGGAATTTAATCCACTGCCCTGGACTGCCCTTCCATCCGGTGCCATCATCGAGTTCGAGGTTATGCTGGTTTTACGGGCTGAAGAGTATGTTATGATTTAGGTATAACCCACGGTCACCACGTCGGCATAGCTAAGTGGTTATAGCATGCGATTGCAGTTCAATCATAAGCTCTGTATCGCAGGGTCGCGTGTTCAAATCACGCTGCTGACTTAGAACTTATTGCTGTAACGTTTTACATTGACTGCAAATTATTTTGCCCAACTTTTGGTTATCGAGCGACGCACTACTTAGACCAGTTTGCCGCTGTCTTGTGCCTCCCCACCACCCGTACCCCAATAAATGACATAGATCTCTCACACAAATGTTATGCCTCCTCACAGTCGTTATATGTTTCGAACTGATCTGCATACCATCTCCCCATCCACGAGTTCAATCAAGATTCGTAAAAAGCCAGCCATCTTCTCGCAATACATCTACAGCCCGCCCTGCTTCCTCTCCAGGAACCAAGACATAATCCGTGTTCCTGCAGGAAATTTAGCCTCAGCTCGTCCCTGCTACAATGCACTCACCAAGTCGACACGGCAAAGATGGGGATGCCTTTCTTGCCCAGAGGAGACGTGAAGCCGCTGAGGACACCCGTTAGACCTATGGTCGAATTATCCCCTGTGTCTTCGGTCTCGAAGCGGTGAAAAGTACCAAAGTCCATAGGCCCCGTTATTTTGATACACCTCCACTTGGCTTCGTACTTCACCTCCTGATCAGGGATCGATTCCCCAACAATGGAGATCTCTTCATCAGTTCGAGTGATATTGATGAACCCCGCCCCTTGCCCCCCAAGCCGTTGCAACAAACCCTCAGGTATCTGATCACCAACTTTGATTTGAATAACGAAGAACGGATTTGGTAACAACTGTAGACCAAGACAAGGATGATTGGATGGAGGAGACATTGTAAAGATTATTTGGACCAGAGAAGTCACGGTGTGGGTAAATTGTCATACATAGGGCTGGTGGAATAAATAGGCCTTCTCTCTCGTGAACATCTAAGAACCCACGATAACCGGAGTGTAATCCTGAGCGTGGCTACTTCCAGTATATACAGTTTCTTGAACACTTCCACTAGGTACAGCATCACTGGTGAAAGCAGTGGAGCCGCTGTAGGCCACGAGTAAATTGCTACCGGAGGTGACCTGGCGATTGCCACATGAGAAAGCGGCGAAGTTCACGAAATCAAAGACACCTACGGCAGAGAAGGTGGAAGCGGATACTCCGCTACCGCAAGAGAATGTTCCGCTTGAAACGCCGCAGTTTCCCTTGGACGTTGTCATCGTAAAGCTGGACGTGGTACCAGTGAAGGTATAGGTAGCCAAAGTTTGGGTGGACCACGTTCCAGCTGACAACAGACCGCCAACGGTGCTGCCCGATGATTCGATAGCTTTGATAGTACCCTTTGAAGGTAAGCTTCCGCCAGTGGGGCCTCCACCCTGGGAATTGTCAGAATGATCAACAGTTTAAGAAGGGAAAAGCAGGATACGCACTGGGCTAGTCGTCTAGAAGGCGATCACGGGAGTGAGTAAAAGATTATAGCCTAGATGTGATGGCCTTACAGTGGTCGTGGCCGAGCCAGACTTGGGAGGGTATGAGATGCCACTTGTTGGGCAGGATCCTGATTGTGGTGCATCTGTGGTAAATCAAGTGAGCTACCTTGTGGCGCGCAACTGCAGCAACAAAATACGAACCGATGGCAACAAAGGTACCGTCAATCACAGAGCCTTTGATGTTGAAATACCAGCTGATAGCGTCCAGCGTGCTGCCGTCGCAGTTAAGAGCAGGTGTATATCCCTACAACGCCGATGATCACCTCGATGGGATGGTGGAACTACAAAGTTACGCACGGACGCGGTCTTGAGCGCGGATGCAAGGGTTGAATAAGTGTATGTCGCGCTGGTGGACGGGGTGATGCCCTGACTCGACAACCAGGTGTAGGTGGGGAGAGTCTACCAAAGAATGAGCCTCCGCTCTGAGCCAGCGAGGTGAATGACAAACCTGGAAAAGTTTGACTACGGTTTGGAAGAACGCTACGGCCTGGACGGAGATCACTTCGAGGAGCGATTATTCAGAACTGCAGACCGTACCTCAGCTCCAGTGGGGCTCCCGTTCGGCAAGCAAGAAGGCTCGAGGGTGCTGAGTAGTAGAATGAGGGACTCTGACGCAATTTATAATCGGTTTGACATACCTATAACAAGTCCCGTGTGTGGCCCATTCGTGCTTGGGAGGGATAGACTTTGATAATGGTGACTAGACGAAGGCAAAGTTTCCACATACCTCCCAGAATTGTTCGTTCTGGCCATTAATATCGACCCAATACTGTGAAATGCGTCAGCGGGGAATTTTGGAGGGTTCATCCCAGATCTCACCGTTTGCATATAAGAAAGGGTGCTGCTCGCTCCCTGGGCCGTCAGAAGCTATGAAACAAAATTCAATAACAGGTTCTACGGACGGCACGGTTACTCACTCCGGAAATATTCGTATAATCACGGGTAGAGTCGCAATTCTCGCTGTAAGTTAGGTCGCAACTGTCTAATGGATGAGAAGGATAGAAGGAGTGTGAGTATTCATTTGACGTACTGATCAGGCCACAATCCTACGAAGTAGAGTCAGACCGGACGGAATTACAGAGAGCGGTTTGAACTTACCGTGGATGGTCCAACTATTACTAGGACCTGTGGAAGGATTGGTATCCCAGAACTGGCAGCCGTTCAGCTTCGTACAGAAATTTCTCATCCTTCCCACTTACTTGAGTTTGCAAGAGCAACCCCTAGAAAAATTCGAGTATCAATATCACAGTTGGACCACTTGAATCCTCGACTGACTCCAGGAGATTCAAAGCAGCACAAGTTACTTTGAGTGGTTCTATTGTGGCAGGAAGCGGGACCAGACGTAGAGCATCCCGAGCTAATCCTCTTGAATAAGTCCATAGGCCCAACAGGCGTAATGAGAGGAGAAGCAAGCGCAGAGCCCAGGAGGGCACCAAGCACCAGCAACGAGAACATCCTGAGGTTTCGAGGTCGAAGGGAATGAGTTCACTGAGTCCCTTCAATTTGGGCACCCTTCTTATTGCCAGACGCACGTTGATAAGAAAGGGCAGGACCGGGGGAACATGAGACCCAGATGCAAAGGACTCTTAGCAAGATCTCACCACCATCCGGTCAGGTCACATTGTGCGAGAATCAGAAGGTAGCCAAGTCCATGCGTTTGAGATCAACGAACCAATTATCGCATAATATGGTCGGGTCAAAGGAACGTTCATTGCAATGCAAAGAAATTTGAGGCACAATCCGCATGACCTAGCTTGACATATGGCCATGACGGTCGACAACCGCATGAGCATTCTTTGAATCGCACCCGGGCTCTGACAGGGTAGGAAAGGAGTAGGCTGGAGCGACGAAGAAGAAGCAGATTAGACTCCGAGTGTCCTGAACAGCATATGGGTTGAACTTCCGTTCTCCAGGCTAGCTCCACCATATCGTCGTGGACCCGTGTGCTGCTGACCACGTCCCCAGAAATCGAAGAACAAGAGAAATTTCAAGAGGAATCTTATGGTATCCACACGTGCGATATCGAAGCAGATTTCGCATGATTTTCCGTTCGAAGTCCGTCAGCAATGACGCTGCCGCTCGCACTGTATGGCCAATGTGAGATATTGCTATGTTCTCGAAGTACTCAGCGTTGAGTGGCAGTGTGGGTTGACAAAGTTCGCGAATCGACGATCATGCCGCGGTGGTTGTGGTGGCGGTTGCTTGGCACAGTACACAAGTACACTATCTGCCCATCCCCGCAATCGTGCCAGTGGCACCAGAATTTCAACCGCGGTGACCTTAGAACTGATGGAGAGATAAGTACTTCAAGGGTATCTGTATCCAGGTAGATAGCTACTGCAGACATAAAGCAACGCGTGGGTAGGATATTGAGGAGAAATACAAGACCAGGCACATCTTATCGACCAGTCGCTCCCATGAGTTTCGTCAGCGAACGGAACCTCGCATGCCAGGTGTCAGCATACAGAACTCCAACCAAACCACTCACGAAGTCCCTGCGAAAGCGGTCAGGTGGGCTCAGTAGGCAGGAGAGGAGAACAAGGGGTTACCAGCTTTGCACCAGCGATGCGATAGGATAGTCGAGTACTTTAGGGATGCTGGTCTGCACCAACCAAGGCCAGCGATCTACGACGATTGCCTTGGGATTGGTGAGGGATCGTAGACCCTCGGGACCACCTACGCGAGGGCGTCAATGGGAATTCAAAGCTAGAAGAGGAAGGAAGAAACCGCACCAAAACGACCATATCCGCTGGCCTTCACACCACCGAATGGAAGATCTTGGCTGTTGGCCAACGAGATGAACAGGGGGGTAAATGCACGACCAATTTTCACTTACTTCAACTGGAAGGGAGTCAGTGACAGAAGCATAGAGGATATGAAGAGGACTGACATAAAAAACGCCGAAATCATTGATAGAGACCATTCCGCATTCCAATTCCTTGGCAACTTGCATACATTTCTCTTCGCTAGGACCGAAGACGCTAGCGCCTAGGCCGTAACGTGTCCCGTTCGCAATCGCAATCGCTTCTTCGATAGTGTCGTACTTCATGAGCAGGGCAACGGGAGCAAATACTAACGACCACACTTAGCGGGTGTATCCCGTACAAGGCAACAGATCACTCACATTCTTCCTGTGCGATTCTTGTCTCTTGAGGTACATCTCCAACAAGTGTTGGGGTGAAGAATGCTCCCTCTTCATGGTATGCGTGTCTAAATCTTGTTCCACCGGCCTCGATGATTGCACCAGCATTTTTGGCCTCCTGAATAACCTGCTCGAGGAAGTCGAAGCGATCCCGCGAAATCATGGCCCCGCAGTCGATGGCATTGATGTAACCTTCTGCTTGTGGTGGTAAGACGGATCCAGGAGTAAGTTTGGCAACACGTTCCAGGAGCATCATGTACAGTTCATCATATTGCGATGTATGCACAATCAGCCGTTCAATACCGATGCAGTTCTGGCCGGAATTTTGGCTGTGTCGGGTCAGAGCATGAAAACGATAAAAAGTGGCGAGAAAACGTACTAAATACCCCTCATCCAAATACTGATCCACTTGTTGAGGTCAGTGGCTGGCATGATAACGGCTGGGTCTTTCCCACCAAGCTCGAGTGTGAC